TCCATTATTGTGGTTCAACTGCTTTTAGTTCTTGACTTTGAAATCATCAATTTCAAGGCCATTGTAGATGAGCTACTCTCCAAGTTCTCTTTAAAGGCTCTTGGAGAGTACTATGTCAGAACAACTATTCCTCTTGCTTCATATGACGTTATCTCGGGAAATTTTAGGCTAGCTGAACTTATATGGAATCTGTGTTATTTTTACCTGGTTTATTCTTTCCAAAACTGGAAAGTACTTGAAAAAAGAGTAGGGTTTGCTCAAAGCTGTGAAAGATCATCTTGAAGAACAAATATCAGACTTTTCCCTTCAATTAAAGACGAAGACGTAGGGTTAAATTGAAAGTCAAGCTTGAAAGCATTGAAGAAAATATATCCAAGGCAAAGTTGTCAAAGATATCACAGGAGAAGAAGTGTAGACACTTGATAAGAAAAGTTTAGTATTTGTGTTTGTTATATTGAGATTGTTCTCCGGAGAGTGTTGAAAATGTGTATCGATTGTTTTTTTTTGTTTCTATAATTTTAATCCTTTTTTGCAATGGAATCAAAACCATAGGTGTAGCAATTTGTTTATCGAGCATTGTAAGTTGTAACCCTAACTTTTTATTTCATAAATAATATTTACAATTTAGAAAAAAAAAATAGTATTTGTGTTTGTTATATTTAGAACAAAAAAACAGTCATGCTTTGATGTTTCATGGTTTTTATTGTATTTTATATTTTGAATTGTTTCCCTTTTTCCTTGAGAAATGTTAATCTTCATTTTTCTTTGAAAACAATATTTGTTTTAATTTGGACAAACATGATTTGGAGGGTTCCATTTTTTATTTTAACTGTTTCACAAATTCGAAAAAGTCTTTCCAATTAACTATTAAGTTGGATCATAATTAATCTCTTTAAAAAAATTTATGGTTGTTCAAACAAATTTTTTGCAATCAAGTATTTCACTAGTTTATATTCTGTTATTTTGACGTTATATTATTTTTTTATATATCAATAATCACCATACTTATACCTTAAAAAGAAAACTGATAAGACTCATACAACGGATAATCATAAACCAATTTCGTCCAAATTTTGAAGAACTTATATTAATGTAATCTTTGATCTTGTCAGATTAAGAAATCTAAAAATAATTTAATGTCTCCATACATAGATATTCTATTTTGTTTTCAATGAAAATGTAGTCAAATTTTTTAGCCATGACCAAATCAATACTCGCAAACTCTATTCCCATAAACAGAGGAGTGTCCGTCTTTTACTCTAATCCAAAGTAATAAAACATCATCCATTCATTTATATGAACGGATATTTGAGTGAATCACGTAAAATCTAAACTGTAAAAGCCACCATCTGAATTCTCAGTAAATGGAAAATAAATTTAAAGTTTTTTAAAATCAGCAGTTTTGTCTGTTTTAATTGTTTTGTAGCGCATAAGCGAGTTGTTTCACATATCGCGTGCGTAAAATCAATAAAATTAACGTTTTGACCCAAAACTAATACTGATGTATTTGAATAACTTGAAACTCGCGCTTAAAAGTTAATGAAAGTTTATTTTCAGTCAGAATTTTCTTATACGAAAATCGAAATTGGTGTCTTGTTTTCTATTGATTCTGTTACATGTACATTTGTCTCCTAAACCGCCGACCCGATTCTTTCTCTACTGTGGCCGGGATGTCTACACTACTCGTGGAGAGAGGTGAAAACCCATCGAGTTACCCAAACCATTCTTGATCATATCCAAATATTTCTAAGACCAATCCAATAGACCAACTACACAATTGACGCTAAACAATACACATAATCTAATTATATGTGGCGATAAAAGATTCGCCTAACGTATAAGAGTAAAATCATCCCAAACAAAAACAAGTGGTAAACATAAATTTAACAAAACTTTTACCCTCCAATATTATCGGTTTCTCATGTATAAAATACCAGAAGTATAAAAAAGACAAGAACAAGAACAAACATACGATGTTTTAAAAAATTTCTAATCCTAAAACTTGTTTTAACTGGACAAAACATGATTTGTAGTGTTTAATTTTTATTTTATTTTAACGTTAATTCCAAAACTCCTTCCACTCAACATATATAATGTTATCATTCTAAAAAAAGTATCATTTCAGTAACTTAATTCACACAAAATTTTGTTTTCTACTATAGTTTATTATTTTTTTTGTTTCATCATTTTAATGTTTATTTTACATATCCTAATCACAATACTCGTATTTTAGATAGATTATTAATAAGAATCGGGCAATTATAAGTAGATGAAGAGAATCTCCTAATAATAGACTTGGAAATGGATAATCATAAAACCATTTAGTCCATCTTTTGAGGAACCATATACAGTTTAACGTAACTCATGATCTTGTCAAAAAAAAAAAAAAATCCAAAAATAGCTTAATTTCTCTATTTATGGTAATATAGACAAATATAATAATTAGTTTTTGTTGAATATTTTAGCCGTGACCAAATCAATAGTAGCAAGCTCTACTCCCAAAAATAGATTTGTGGTTTTCACTCCAATCCACATTAATCATATATCATCCATTCAATTATATGTATGAATGTTTGAGAGAATGTTGCACAGAAAGTTGCAAAATCTAAAACATGAAAATCACCATCTTGCTCCTCAATAAGTAAATTGTATGATATTGTAATTGTAAACTCTCAATTTCCGATTTGGATTTATAAACCGCGTTAATTTTTAATAAATGTTATTGATAAAAAAAAAAGAAATTATAGCGTATTATGCTTTCTTCTTGTTTATCATTTGATAATTATACATTAGAAATTGACAATTTGTAATTATTTTTGGTATTTATAATACGAGCACTCCACACATATATATATTTATGCTTTAAATTTTCTAAACAAGAAAAAATGTTTTAATTTGATAGAACATGACTCAAAGGGTTTAATTTTTATTTTATTTCAAATGTTTTACTAATTTCAAAAACCATTTCCAACCAAACATTAAGTTGGATC